AAAAAAAGAGAGATAATAAATGAGAAGAGTCTCATAGTATCTTTTCTCAATGCCAAGTTAAAGATCTCTTCTCTTCTCTTCTCTTCTCTTTTTCTTTTTTTTTGGGTTGGTCGTGGGGCTTAACTCTGGGCTTGGGTGCTGTCACTGTGCTCTTCAGCTCAAAGGCCAGTGCTCTACTGCTTGAGCCACAGTGCCACTTCCGCTTTTCTAGTGGTTTATTGGAGATAACAGTCTCATGGACTTTCCTGCCAGGGCTGCCTTTGAACTGTGATCCTCAGATCTCAGCCTCCTGAGTAGCTAGGATTATCGGCGTGAGCCACCGGCGCCCGGCTAAAGATTTCTTTTCTTATGTAGCCAGATATTTCCTTGGTTGTGATACAGTTATTTCTGAATTAGATTGTGAGTTTCATTTGCAGTGCTCATAGAGCCTGGCACATTGGATATGCCCACTAAAGTGTTAACAAAAAGCTGAGTGTGATCATGCATACCTATAATCCTAGCTACTCATGAGGCCAAATCAGGAGAATCATAAGTTCATGGGTAGCTAGGCAAATGTTAGCAAGACCTTATCTCAGAACCAAAATAGAAACAAGGCTAGGGATGTAGCTCAAGTAAAGCATGAAGGCCTGAGTTCAGTCCCCTGTACCACAACACACATACAAAAGATAAAGGCTAGAGATAGAATTCTGTGGGTTTTTTTTTTTTTTTTTTTTTTGCTATCTTCTACAAAGCTTACAGGTAAAAAGAACATTCTTTGAATCAGAATGGTGTTTGGATCTAGACAATCTTACTCAGTTTCTCTGTTGTCCTTGTCCCAACTTCAGTGTTTTCACCTAAGACTCACACCTCAGAGTGTGATTGTCAAGCTAGCAGGATGCTTTTTATTTATTTATTTAGATCTTGGGGCTTCAACTCTGGGCCTGGGTACTGTCCCTGAGCTCTTCAGCTAAAGGCTAGTGCTCTATCATTTGAGCTACAGCGCCACTTCCAATTTTCTGGTGGTTAATTGGAGATGAGAATCTCATGGACTTTCCTGCCCAGGCTGGGTTTGAACCATGATCCTCAGATCTCAGCCTCCTGAGTAGCTAGGATTAAAGGCATGAGCCACCAGTGCCAGACTGCCTTTAATTTATTATTATTATTTTTTATTTTTTTGGTCGTGGGGCTTGAACTCTGGGCCTGGGCGCTGTCTCTGAGCTCTTCAGCTCAAGGCTAATGCTCTACCACTTGAGCCACAGCACTACTTCAGTTTTCTGGTGGTTAATTAGAGTTGAGAGTCTCACAGTCTTTCCTGCCCAGGCTAGCTTTGAACCACAGTCCTTAGATCTTAGCCTCCTGAGTAATTAGGATTAAAGGCCTGAGCTACCATCGTCTGGCCTACCTTTTCTTTTAATTATTTATTATTTATTTATTTTTTGGTCAGGTCGTGGGGCCTGAACTCTGGGCCTGGGCGCTGTCCCTCAGCTCTTTAGCTCAAGGCTAGGGCTCTACCACTTGAGCCACAGTGCCACTTCCAGCTTTTTTTCCTTTTTGCTTATGTGGTGCTGAGGAATCAAACCCAGGTCCTTATGCATGTAAGGCAAGCGCTCTACCACTGAGCCACCTTCCCAGCCCTACCTTTTCTTTTTATACTGCCCCATTTAGGGAAATCTGATGTAAATTAGAGCTCGTTGTAATGGGCTTTCTATGTTTAAGGAGTTATTCTAGGAAGTATATATTTTCTTAAAAATATTTATAGGTATAAGTCATCTGAAAAGATGTCATTTCATGGGGCTGAGAATGTGGGGCTTAGTGGTAGAGTGCTTACCTAGCATGCATGAATCCCTGGGTTTGATTCCTTAGTACCACATAAACAGAAAAGGCCAGAAGTGACGCTGTGGCTCAAGTGGTAGAGTGTTAGCCTTGAGCTCAAGAGCTGAGGGATAGCACCCAGGCCCAGAGTTTAAGCTCCATAACTGACCAAAAAACAAAAGAAAAAATACTAACAAAGCAAAGCTAGCACCAGATATAGTACTCCAGAGAGAAGGAAATTGCCTGCTTGAGAATAAGTAATTGAAGCCAGTGATGAAACCTCTCTTAAACTAAATGGATTAATTTCATTGTAAACTTTCAGAGGTTGTTACCTGCATAATACTCTGTTCCAAAGAATAGAAAAATAGTATCTTAATTGAAAAGGTCTTTTAAAGCTATCCTAACAGCCTTTACTGAGCTCAGCATTTATCTTGGGCAGATGTGGGATTTTTTTTTTTTGTCTTGTTTGGAAACTCATCTTTCATTTCCTCAAGTACATTATAACATTATAACTCCCCTAAGAGTCATTGAATGCTCATGGGGCTTCTTTCTTTATGCATTGTAACTGCTCTGTTTTCCGACTTGTCATCTCAATGCAATTAGTTTTCCATGGAGGGAATCTAAATTGGTATGATCTTGTTGTAAGCAGACAAATTCTTGCTCTGTGTTTCCTAACACATGGACTTGATAACTAGTGTTTTACACAAGGGCCCAGTCATCTCTTAGGAATTCAGGATCCATTCTGGGCTTGGGTAGTTGTCAATTTCACCACCAGGGGGCCTCAGCTCTCCTCAATTCCATTCAGAAGCATGGTATATATTTTCTGAATTAGCTAACTAGAGAATAGAATTGAATAAAAAATGTTATGTACTCATGCTTATCACATTTCATTTTAAAAAGATTATCTTACAGAAATAAACTTTTTTTTTGTCTGCCTGGGGCTTGAACTCAGGGCCTGGATGCTGTCCCTGAGCCTCTCTGTGCCCAAGGCTAGCACTTTATTACTTGAGCCATAGTGCCACTTCCAGCTTTTTCTGTGTAGTTTATTGGAGATAAGAGTCTCACAAACTTTCCTGCCCAGGCTGGCTTTGAACTGTGATCCTCAGATGTCAGCCTCGTGAGTAGCTAGGATGATAGGTGTAAACCACAGGCACCCAGCCAGAAATACACTGTTAAGTGCATAAAAAAATATAAATAAACCATGAAAAAGAATTTCAGTATTGATATATGCTATAATATTGATAAGCCATGAGCCAGCCTCAAAAACATGTTAAAGAACACATAAGAGGTCTCCTGTTGGGGGTTTGAGGTATGATTCGGTGGTAAAGCTCTTTCTAAACATGTATGGGACCCTGAGTTTGATCCCCAGCACCTCACCCAATCCATTTGTATCCATCTACCTGTGGCTGTTCAGAACAGATAAATTCATGGAGACTGAACATAGGTTGTTGATCACATATGACAGTGTGACAGGGTAGGGAGGGCAGAATGAGAAGAAACTGTTTAATGGCTGCAGGATCTTATTTTGAACTGATGAAAGTGTTTGGATCTAGACAGAGGTTGTGATTGTAGAAAGTTGTGAATGAAGTAAGTGCCACTTTAGAGTGAATTTACTTTAAAATGTTTGGTGTAGCTGGGCACTGGTGGCTCACACTTATAATCCTAGCTACTCAGGAGGCTGACATCTGAGGATTGTGGTTCAAAGCCAGCCCAGGCAGTAAAGTCTGTGAAACTCTTATTTCCAATTAACTACCAGGAAAAAACTGGACGTGGTCTAACCTTGAACTGAAGAGCTTAGGCCCAGCATTCAAGCCCCATGACAGACCAAAAAAAAGGGGGGGATGGTGGTATTGTATGAAAATTTCAATTCCATAAATTAAACATAATCTGATAACATTGTAAGACCCAAATAAAAATATTTATCAAGGGCTGGGAATGTGACTTAGTGGTAGAATACTTGCCTAGCATGCATGAATCCCTGGGTTCAATTCCTCAGTACCACATCCACAGAAAAAGCCAGAAGTGGCTCTGTGGTTCAAGTAGTAGAGTGCTAGCTTTGAGTAAAAGAAGCTCAGGGACAGTGCCTGGGTCCTGAGTTCAAGCCCTGGGACTGGAAAAACAAAATGTTTATCAACTGGAGACTGATATGTTTGGGCAATGCAATACTATGTCATTGTTGGTAAGAATGAAATAATCTTTATATGTGTATTTATGAGGAAAAATGTATGAATAGACTGAGCCAAATCTTTGGTTCTGTCCCTCTTTATTGATTGCATAGTGATGAGTGACTTGTAGGTCTCCTGGTAGAATAGTGGTAGCGGGAATGTTAGCCACTCAGAATATGTTCACTGAGTGCTTTCCATGTGTATTGCTCTGGTTTTAGAGAGAGAGCTCCAGGTTCTACCTGGCAGATGTAGATGTAGATGTAGATACAATATATCTTTGGTCTTAAGAAAGCAAAATAGAAGATTGACAGGCAGCCAGCTTTGGCCTAGCTTAGCACCTTGTACAACACACAGTTGCCAGATACATTTATAACTTTAACTGAGTTTTAGTCTCAGTATTCTATTCTTTACCTTGCAGAACTGTCCAGGCTCTACAGACAGCATCTTACCTGTCCCAGCAGGCTGACCTGAGGAATATTGTGGAGGAGATTGAGGTATGAATATGTTTTACTAGAGCGTATCCCAATTCCTGTCTTTGGTACCATTTAGGAGTGTCCTGTAATAGACACACCTGTTTGGTTACAGTAATTATATTTCTTTTCATATCCATGGCATCCTTGTGTTCTTTGTAGGAGAGCAGTATGCCTGTGGGAATATAGTTGCATCAAATTAGGCAACAAATCATTTTTCTTGTTTGAGCTAATAGTCTAGAAGGTTTAGAGATGAATGGTCCTATGATTCAAATACTTCTTTGTAATTTTAGGCAAGATGTTCAGTGGCTCTGAGCATCAGTGGTTGTAGAAACAAGTGAGGTTCTAAAGAGTCTAATATATAATAGGTGCTCAGTGAGTGGCCATAGCAAAGTTATTGTTTTTTGTTTGTTTTATGCTGGTACTGGGGTTGAACTCAGGCCTTTATGCTCTTGCTTAAATGTTTCATTCATGGCTGACACTCCTTGAGCCATATTAATCTGGCATTTTTGCTGATTAATTAGAAATAGAGTCCCTTGGACTTTTCTTCCCAGGCAGGCTATGAACCACAATCCTATGAGTTTCAACCTCTTGAGTAGCTAGGCTTACAGATGTGAGCCACTTAATATGCCTGGCTTGTTTGTTTTTGAGATAAGGTATCACTACATAGCCTAGGCTTTCCTTGAACTCACGGTCCTCTTGCCTCCATCCCTAAGTACTGAGAGCACAGCTGTGTACCACCATGCCCAGCTCACTGTGGTTATTACTATTGCTCTGTCCTTTGCCCAAGACCTCCTGCTCCTTGGGGCTAACCTCATGGCAGAGGCAACAGGCAGTGCTGACACTGTCATCAACGGATGATGGTCAGGAGAGCAGTATGTCTCTTCTCATCTTGTAGAGAATTGGCTAAAAAGGGAAGTGCAGTGCTTGGTAGATTGTATCTGAATGTCTTACATCAATGTTGAGATGCTTCCTTAGAGTTCTGCAGCCAGGTCTCCTGTCCTGCCCAGAGTAGATAGTGCTTCAGTGCCATGACTTCTGGACTTGGACAGGACTGCCGGGGGTCTAGAAAGGTTGACCTCCCAATGGTGAAGGAACTGCTTCTTGTATGTCTAGGCGTCTTTATTGAAAACGTATGAAGTGGCTGAGATTTTTTCAGATTTAGAGTGAGAGGGCTTTGTATACCTCATTTCTGTGCCGCTTGACTTCCAACATGCTTCCATTTTGCTGTGACAGGACCTTGTTGCTCGCCTGGATGAACTGGGGGGCGTGTATCTGCAGTTTGAAGAAGGACTGGAAACCACAGCACTGTTTGTTGCTGCTACCTACAAGCTCATGGACCACGTGGGGACAGAACCATCCATTAAGGAGGTGCCTGTCTAACACTTCTGTTGTGTGAAACCCAAAGGCGACGTCAGACGCTTTATCTGCTCAGAGTAGCTGTTTTCAGTGAGGAATGTTCAGATGACATTGGGTGTTGTTATTTAGTGTTAGGTATTGTGAATACAGAAAGATGTAATGCCTTAAGTTGTCAAGCCAGCTTTAAATGGGGGACGTGCATGTTGAGATCATGGCAAGAAGGCCAAGTGTATTATACTTGTCTCATCTCCCTTTACCTCCTGACAGCCCTTCCTGCTTGTCTGGTGAATGCTTTCCCCTTTGGTGGTCCTGCAGATCCTCTTTCTGAGAACTACCCTGGACTTCAAAACTGCCTGTTCACTGGGCGCTGTGGCTCACGCCTGTCATCCTAGCTACTCAGGAGGCTGAGCTGAGGATTGCGGTTCAAAGCCTGTCCAGGCAGGAAAGTCCGTGAGTCTCTTATCTCCAATTAAGCACCAGAAAACTGGAAGTTGCTCTGTGGTAGAGCACTAGCTTTGAGCAGAAGAGCTCAGGGATAGCACCCAGGCCCCGGCCCCACAACCAAAAAGCTCAAAACAAAAACTTGCCTGTTCACCTTTCCCCTCATCCTCAGCAGTGACTAAATTTCAGTTGATGTCAGCTGGTTGACACAATTCCCTGAAAGATTGTGTCTACTGCCAACCCACCAACTGTGAATTCTTTTTTTTTTTTCTTTTTCAATTTTGAGAGGAGATTGTTAAGCTGAACATCCCCCCCCCCCAACTTTTAAAAAAATTTGTGTAGGAAGGCTTCTTCATATACCTTGTGTGAAGTTATCAACCCTCGATCTAGTACTTAAATACAAACTATTATTTAAATTTTCAGAAAAGAAGTTTGGGTTCAAAGTTAGGTTTCGTTTTTTGTTTTGTTTCTGTCTTCTTGGTGGTACTGCAGTCTCTCAGGTCTGAGTTCAGGGTTGCAGGCTTGCTTGACCAGCATTTTACCACTGAATCAGTCATGCCTCCTTTGCTTGTTGCTCATGATTTTGGAGATGGAGTCTAGTGAACTTTTCTTTCCAAGGTTGGCTTCAAACTGCTATCCTCAGACCTCAATCTTCTGAGGATTACAGGTGTTAATAACTAACACCTGGTTAGGAATTCATTTCTTTCATACATTACTAATTTTGTGGAAAGTTTCTTTAAATAGTAAATGACTGTCCTGGAGAATTTGAACTAATTGTATATTTTTTCCAGAGGATATGATCTAATCATTCATTTGTACATCTTTCATTTTTAAATCTGTCTTTTTCTTCAGCTTGTGTGTAGGCAGACTAGAAATATCAAACTGTCTCTTAATGTCTGTGATGGATGAAAATGTGGGAATTCAGAGTCTTATGGTACTAATTATTTGGGTTTCTTCTATATGCAATTCATTTCTAGGTGAATTAGTAATACTCAACCTATAAAACTTAAAACTTTTTTACTTTATTACCAGGCTGTTACTAACTAGGTATTTGGCTGGAGTAATTTTACTGTCACTGCTTTTGAGCAGTCACCTGTTTTCACATGTCAACAGCATAGTGATGAAAAAATGTAATTGGTACAATTATGGAAAATTATTTCATGTCAGCTGTGAATAACACTGTCATGAACAAGGGAGCTCTTTTGTTAGCAGGTAGATTTTAAAAAATCACAGCTGATTGAAGTGGAAAAACGTTTTCTCCTAAGCAAACAACCTCCAGAATTTTAATAATGCCTTTTAGATTTCACTTGTTTTTAAAATTGCCTTTAGTTTTCTTCTCTAAGCCACCTATTACGTCTTAATGGAGAGTTATTTTAGTTCCTTTCTACTGTACGTTTAAGCTGTAAAGTTTGGTCTTATAAATGGAAATTTTGCCCCAATTTACTACTTAGAGGTAGGTTAGGAGGAAAGGTAGTTTAACATAAGGACTGGAGATCAGGAAGAACAGAATATGGCAGGACCTCGGAGATAAACTTAGAATTGAATTTTCCTCTTGTTATATTTCTTTTCTCTTTCTGCTAGAACTTGTGGCAGTTACTTAATGTTTTAGCCTCAGTTTCCTCATTTGAGTAACCTTCATAATACTGATCTTGCAGGATTTGGGAAATATTGCCAGTATTAGCCTTTCAGGAGAGGTGTTTTATCCTGATGCCTGGCACATAGATGTGTCTAACAAATGGTTACTGTTTCATTCATTCGTACTTACCTGAAGTACGCTGTGTTTATAGCAAGCCTTCATTACAATGTGCACTTAACAAATGAATGCATGAATTTCAGTATAACAGGAGGTAGGAAAACAAAATCTCAATGCAGGTTTCAAGTTTAAATGCAGCATATTTGCTCTTCCCACTCTACCAGGTAATGGTGCGAGCTGTTCAGTGAGATCACCTGATACCAGGAAGTTTTGAACCAGTGGGGGGAAAGGGAGGGGGTTCACTTCCACCTGGTTGAGCTGCAGGGGGAGATCTGAGCTGATTCTCTTGTCTTTCAGGATCAGGTCATCCAGCTAATGAACACTATCTTCAGCAAGAAGAACTTCGAGTCACTCTCAGAAGCCTTCAGTGTGGCATCTGCTGCTGCTGCACTGTCCCAGAATCGCTACCACATGCCAGTTGTAGTTGTGCCGGAGGGCTCTGCTTCTGATGCCCATGAGCAGGCTATCCTGAGGGTACGGCCTCCATGCCTCTATGATGTGACACTGTGATGCTAGTTTCTAGTGCAAGGCTTTCAGAAATCTGAAGGCTATAGTATGCATTCACAAGTGGTCCTGTGAGGACATACCCATAAGTTTAAGGCGAGCTTATTTTCCTTAGCCTGTTATGGGGACATGACCATTAGAGACTAGGCACAGAACTCTTCAAATCTATTAAAAAGCAAAACCAACAAAACCCCCACTTTTTCCTAGAGGATTCTCAGTAGCACAGGCTTTCAGTAAATTAAATGTAAGAAAGTCTCATTTCTGGCTCTACAACTCCAGATGTAGAAAGAACTCTTACTTCTAAAATGCATTTCTGTGGAGGATATAGCTCAGTGGTAGAGTACTTGCCTAGCATGTGCTAGGCCCTGATTCAGTCTCTGACATCATCATCATCTTAAATACATTTCCTTGGGCCAAAACTCTCCAAATACATTGTTTTAAGACAGCTGTTTTGAATCCTGATTTGTTGCTTATATTTGTTAAGGGGAAGTCTTTTCCTCCCTGGTGTTGATTATCATTTTGGTTCTTCCTAACACAACTTTGCTTCCCTCAGAGATGAGCATAGACTTCTCTTGTGTGTTAACTCATTGAACAAAGCAAGTATATAAATCTTGTATACATGTCTAGAGGTTTTGCCCCAAATGAAATGAGTTGTAGCTATTGTTTGCAAATCACTGATAAGATCACCATAAAGAATTTGCATTTATTATACTAAAATTTTGGGACCATAGGACAGTTCTATGTGTCCTATAACTTCTGTTTTAGTGGCCCTTGCAGATACCCTACTGAGAAAGTACCTTGTGCTTCAAAATTGCCTGTCTCCTGCATACAGTTCATATTTCAAAAAGACCAAGATGAGAAATAACCACATTAATGTAATATACTGTGAGTCACAGAGCAGCTAAGAAAATAAAATGGGAAAAGGATTGGCTCTGAAGCTGAAGAAGAGCTGGCATTTAACTGGCCACATTTAACTGACCTTTGCCAGTCCTGACCTCTCCTAGCTTCATTTTCTTCATCTGCAAAGTCAGTATTATGTAGATGGGAGGTTTTATGTAAAGACTCATGTATCACTCATTTGTTAACTTTCAACAAATGATAGTTACTAAGGTTACCCATATTTCTTCACTTTTCCCATTGCTAATCCCTTCCGAAAATACTATACTAGAGTTAATTAGACCAGGAGATTAGAAAGAAGGAAATATGTAAGCCAGGCATGGGGCTTACATCTGTAATCTCAGCACTTAGGAAGCTGAGGCAGGAGAATCAGTGTTCAAAAGCCAGCATGGACTAAAGAGAGAAACCTTGTCTAAAAATATATATAAGGGGAGAGAACAGAGACCAGTAATTTTTCCCCCCTTGGTTTCTGATCTCTGAAGACTGAAATAATTTGGCAAGGTCATATTTTGGATCCTTTCAGCTCTTTCATTCTATAATCTTGCATTTCTAATCAAATTGTATTTTTTCTATATCTGATCTCTGATGGGCAGCAGACCTGTGTTTGGTAGAGCTTGCTTCCTATTGATAATGTACCCCCGAGACTAACCTCTACTCCCTCTTTTGTTGCTAATTATTATTTTATTTATTTGTTTCCTTATTTATTTCCAGTTGCAAGTCACCAATGTTCTGTCACAGCCCCTGACTCAGGCCACTGTGAAGCTAGAACATGCCAAATCTGTTGCTTCCAGATCCATTGTCCTCCAGAAGACATCTTTCACTCCTGCAGGGTGAGTCTTATGCATAAGTTGTGTGCAGCACATTCTGCTATGTATTATGAAAGTTAGCCTGCATTCAGTGTAACAGGTTAATATGAGTATTACCAAGATGATAAAACTAAATTTGCCCAAATTTGGTAGAAAATACTGCAGTTCAATGTAAGAAAAGGATTTCTAAAACAGTTTCGGTTTGTATTTTTCCTTCTTTGTCTATTTCTAGTTCACCTGTCTTGTCATTATAAGTGATTATTTAAAAATTGAATAATGTTTTTGTCCAGTGCATGAGTATGGAGAGAAAAAAAATCAGAAAAGCACAAAAGAGAAAATATAAGTTACCCATTATTCTATCTCCTTGAGATAACCACTAGTAAGGTTTTTACAGTCTCTTTGTTGTTGTTCAGTCTTTTTATTATACATATAGATAAATTATTATGTTTTTGTTTTTGTATATGTGTGTGCTGTTTCTGGGGCTTGAACTCAGGGACTGGAGCTGTCCCTGAGCTTTTTTACTCAGGGCTAGTGCTCTACCACTTGAGCCATAGCTCCATTTCCAGTTTTTTGGTGGTTAATTGGAAAGAATCTTACAGGCTTTGTGATCCTCAGATCTCCACCTATTGAGTAGCTAGGCTTACAGATGGGAGCTACTGGCACCTGGCCTAGACACATTTTAAGAAAATTAAATTGTGATTATACTCTGATTATAACAATATGTCAGGGGGCTGGGAAGGTGGCTCAGTGGTAGAGCACTTGCCTTGCATGCCTGAGGCCCTGGATTCAATTCCTCAGCACCACATAAGCAAAAAGAAAAAAGCCAGAAGTGGTGCTGTGGCTCAAGTGGTAGAGCGCTAGCCTTGAGCTGAAGAGCTGTGGGACAGCGCCCAGTCCCAGAGTTCAGGCCCCACGACCAGATCAAAAAAAAAAAAAAACAACCAATATGTCAGAACATTTTTCCAAAGGATTAAGTATTTTTTGACCATCAATTTTAGCCACTGTATAGTTAAACTGCTATCTAGACTTTTTAAAAATTAAGGGTCTGTTTTTATATGAAATTTTGTTAAGTTTCAAATTAGTAGGTTGAGATCAGGAAATTAGAATGTTAGAGAGTACACAAGACAATTTGTTCAAAATGAACTTTACAACTGGGGAGGGATTGAGGGGAGGAAAAGTGGGAGAAAAATGAAGGAGGGGGTAACAGTGTTCAACAAGAAATTACTCACTACCATATATCTGTAACTATAACCCCTCTGAACATCACCTTGACAGTAAAATTAAATTAATGTTAAAAAGAAAATTTCTTCTGCAGTCAGACTCAGAGTATTTTTAGCCATGATTAGTGAAACGGTAAAAGACATTGGGATTTCTCTATATAAGAGATAAGAATTCTCTACTTTGTTCCCCATTTAAAAATTTTTGTTGTTGTTGGTCATGGGGCTTGAACTCTGGGCCTGAGCGCTGTCCCTCAGCTCAAGGCTAGCGTTCTACCATTTGAATTACAGTGCCACTTCCCGTTTTCTGGTGGTTTACTGGAGATAAGAGTTTCACGGCCTTTCCTGCCCAGGCTGGCTTTGAACAACAATCCTCAGATCTCAGCCTCCTAAGTAGCCAGAATTACAGGTGTGAGGCACCAGAGCCCCACTAAAATATTTTTTTAAATAAAAATAGAATATTTCCTTTTTAGAAAGCTGAAGATATGAAAATATAGACTTAATACCTGCCCCAAAAAATCACCCCATAACTATGCTATCCAAGCCAACATTTTTGAACATTTGAGATTATTTCCTTTTATGTGTCTTTATTGTTAAACCCAGCTGGGGTCTTGGGGATGTTATTCAGTGGTAGAACACTTTCTTACCTCTTATGTTTGAGGTCCTGGGTTCTATTTCTAGCACTGCAGAAAACAAAATAATTGGGATTATATTGTAAATTTACCTGTTTAAAATTAATGGAAAGGTATCAGAGGGAGTGGAATTTTAAGAGCTAAGAGACAACAAAAGAAAAGAAATGTTTGAAACTTAGAGAAAATGTTGTTTGGGTTAGTTTTGAAGTTTTCCACGCTAATGTAAGGGTAATCTGGGGTATGCCAATGGGGTAAGAAGGCAGCAAGGTACAAGGTGTGGTGCAGCACTGATCTCTCTCAAGGACATACTTGAACATGCTCTGAGCTCTTGCTGACCCTGCTGTTGTTCTTCACAGGGATATTTTTGAACTAAACTTCGAGAACGTCAAATTTTCTAGTGGTTATTATGATTTTTCTATCAAAGTTGAAGGTGACAGTCGTTATATTGCAAACACTGTAGAGGTAAGTGTGCTTTTCTGTCACCTCATTGTCTTGTCTATATATTCAAAGAAATGACCAATGCTGCACCTGTGTGAAGCATCTGGCATATTGGCTTGTCTTTATGCCCAAGCTAGTGGGTGGCGTGACTACGGGAAGAGAAAGATAGGTTTGAGCTGTACTGTCTGATAGACTTACCAAACCTTGGTCAAAGAGTTTTCTTTAGCTGTGCATTGGTGGCTCATGCCTGCCTAGCTACTCAGGAGGCTGAGATCTGATGATCATAGTTCAAAGCCATCCTGAGCCTCTTATCTCCAATTAACCACCAGAAAACCGGAAGTGGCTCTGTGGCTCAAGTGGTAGAGCACTAGTCTTGAGCTAAAGAACTGAGGAACAGCGCCCAGGCTCAGAGTTCAAGCCCTATGTTGTTTTCCAGTATTATTTTGGAATACTGGTATTTTTTTTCTTTTTGATTGTTGTTGTTGCTAGTGATTGGACCCAGGACCTTGCATATATATCATGAACTGTATCTCTAGCCATTGCATTATTGCCTACCTGAAAGTTAGGAAGTAGAGATGGGCATTGGTCTCTATATAGTTTTGCTTGTTTTTTTTTTTGTCGGTCGTGGGGCTTGAACTCTGGGCCTGGGCGTTGTCTCTCAGCTCTTCAACTCAAGGCGAGCGCTCTACCACTTGAGCTACAGCGCCACTTCCGGGCATTGGTCTCAAATGCCTATAGTCCTAGCCTGAGATTCAGAGAATTGAAATTCACAGCCAGCCTGGGCAGTGAAGTTCATGAGACTCTATTATTCTCCCAAATAACTAGCAAAAAGCAGAGACAGGTGTGGCTCAAATGGTGGTGTGCTAGTGATAAACAAGTAAGATGAACAAGTGTGAGGCCCTGAGTTCAAACCCTACTCCTGCTAAAACCTAAAACAAAACAGTCAGGAGATAGAGATCTGGGAATAATGCAGTGGTTGACCACTTCCTTACGGTATGCAAGGACTTGGTTTGATTCCCTGACACTTTAAAAATTGGGATGTAGAAAAATTAAAAAATTCTTTAAGCCAGGCACTGATGGCTCATGCCTGTAATCCTAGCTACTCAGGAGGCTGAGACCTGAGGATTGCGGTTTGAAACCAGCCCAGGCAGGAATGTCCATGAGACTGTTATCTCTAATAAACTACTCAGAAAAAGCCAGAAATGGCACTGTATTTCAAGGGCTAGAGTACCATTCTTGAGCAGGACAAGCTCAGGGACAGTGTATCTAGACCCTGAGTTCAAGCCCCAGGACCAGCCAAAAATAAATAAAAAAATTATAAAATAAAAACAATTCTCATAATTTCACAGGTGCATAAATGATCTTGAAAGTTTTGCATGGTAGAGTTGTTATGTTTAGAAAAGTGCTTGATGCCAGTTGAGTGGTGAGTCACATCAGATGACACATACATAACATTATGAGACTCTCTGGATAAAACACCAGAGAAAATTTGTCATCTTTCCTAATCAGCTGTGTTTCAGATATTTAGCTAACTGAGGTTGGGTTGAAGACCCAAGTAGTTCTAAGAACAGAATGATAAGCTTCATTTGTCTGGTGCCATGGGAAACAGACATTTTACCTTAGTGTTTATCCCAGATAATTGAAGGCTACCCTTGTAGGCACTGTAGCTTTTGATTTGAACCTTTGTTAATGTAAATTTATCCTACTTTCTTGAACTATGGAGTATGATTGAACCCTGTATGCTCAGAGAGTCATCAGTCCTGATGCTCTTGTCTCTTTTATTACTGTGCCCTTTGCCAGAAGGTGATTTCTCTTTCTATGATTCCATCTACATTTATTCACTGGTGTTCTGTAAGAAAAATAAGTTGGCCTTTCATGTTCATTAACTCATACAATGTAATTTAGATTAGATATTGTGTTTGTAATATATCATGGGTATTGATTTTACTCTATAGCTTACAATCCGTTGCTATCATTTTTTTTTTTTTTTGATGCTCCTATTTTCCTAGTTCTATCTTTGGAGAACTCTCAGCTCTTTTGACACCCTCTTTCTGAGAGGAGTAGGCAGCTAGAAAGCTTGACCTTTTCAAAAGTTAAGACATTACTTAACATAGGTAGATTAAGCACTTGCTTTAAAGTTTGGTAGAAAGGAAAATGTTTTCTGGAGCTCTAGTCATTCTGCTTCATGTCTGACCTTTTGGGCAGGAGACATCTGATCTGATCCATTCACTGTAACAGAATTTGGTAGAAATTATTTTCATGTCTTCCTTCCTTGAACTTTTACAATTCAGATTCTTTTAATTTGAGCTTCCTTCCTAAGTGGCTTTATTTGTAACATAACATATTTAAAGGAAAGTTGTCCCCCTTCCCCTGCAACTTCTTCTTGCTCTCACCCTCCTTAAATTGCAAACAACTGTCCAGCTATAATGTCAGGTACTCCCTC